CCTTGAGAGAAGCTAACATATAATAAATATCACAGCACACATTCATACAGTGATTGCAGAGGAGACCGTCAGAGAGAAGAAATCTAAGGGCCAGGTAACCAGGGTTGCCAACATCTTTGTTTTAGTTCTTACTAACATGATCAAGCAGGAGCAAGAATTTTTCCTACTGATTTTTTTTCATGAGCCAAAGTGATTCTCAAAGAGCACAATAATAAATCAGTAATGGGAAACAGATCTGGGTGGTCTTTTGAAGCTTTAATAGGAAAATATTTATCTTTGTGCTTGTACATGGAATGGAGAAAACAGAGTCCTGAGGGCTTTTGTAAGCAGTAAATAAAACTGATTGCATATCTTCATCACTCTAAAGCTTTCATTAGGAGTAAGTGATGGGGAATTTTACTTAAAATAATTGAATTGCTATAACTGAGATTGCATGGTATGCTCAATCTCAAGAGGTCTCCTAAGGTAAGTGTCTGAGTCATACCAATGGGAAGAAAACAGAGGGATTCCTAAAACACAGCAATGGATAGGTTTGTTAGAAGTGCAGCACTGCAGCACTGATGGTAAGCGAAATATCTTCAAGACTGGCAGGAGAAGCTTTGGATGAAACCTTGCAGATACAATTTTCTCCTGTGGCTGAAGGAACCAGCAAGACACTGACAGTAAGAGTGGCTCTGGTTCTCAGAGCTGGATGCCAGATTTGCTGGCCTTCAAAGCTAGAAATTGGGCATATCACAGCCTGCTCTGCCTTGCTCCACTACTTTTGAAATACGGAATACATCAGCAACAAAACCACTTGCTCTCAAGCTGTGACCACAACCAAGCACAGGTGCCCCCCAGCTCCTATTCACGGACAAACATGTGGTCCAGAACACTGGGAAGAAAGAATCACAGCATCTCTGTTATAGCTCAGCTCCTGAAGGGTTTACACCAATGTCCTTCCTTCTAAACACAGCAGCAAAGTCAAGCATGCATGATTTACTGTTGAATGGTTCTATAAAAAAAAATATTTCACTTGTAATTTCTGCTGCTATAAATAGCCATGTGGTGACAAACCTCCATGGACTGCAGCAAAGCAAACACAATCTACTCAGGCATTACGCTAGTGTACACTGGCACTAAATGCAGTAACAGAGCATTTATAATTTATTTTAGATGCCCACAACAGAAGCTCCAAGCAGAGTCATTGTGATTACAGCAGTTACCTGGATTTTCACCCTTTTGCTGTGCTGAATTACATAAGGAGAATCGAATTTGGCTCATGGTCTTTCTTGGCACTCAAGTTTAGCATCATCTACATTTTTATCTTAAGACAGAAGGAAGTGAAACCCGCTGCTGTTTCACCTGCTGGATGAAAGGAATCCAGCAGAAACCAAATGGTTTATGGCCACCCTGCCATTCTGAGCCATCATTGACTCAGTTGATGCAGATTTCTACATACATGGAAATCACCTTTCTGCAGATGTTGCTTCTGAAACTGAATGAGGGTTCAAAGGGAAAGCGTGGTGCCCACTAAGGGGAGCTAGTTCCTCAGCTATTTGAGACACGGAGAAGTTAAAGGCAATCAGACAACCAACTGTTGAGCAAGACAGAAACGGGGACTGAAAAACAGGGCTGCTGGTGAAGAGGAGTAACAGTCTTGCTAAAATTGAGCTTAATTCCCTCAGATAGTTAGGTTTAGCATATTTATAAGTGGGAATCTCTACATGTCTTTTGTGTTTCTGTGATGGAATGAATGCTGGGATTCTTGATCTTTGTCATTAATTGCTATAGCTCCATGGAGAGAAGCATACTTTTGACTGTATCCATTGGGCCATGAGACCTAGAGAAAATCCACTTTCTCCCATTCTGTGGAATCAGTTAGCTCCTCCCCTGAAGCAATCTCCTCCCTCAGCCGTGCATTTCCTCTACTCAGCCTTTTTATCTTTCCTTAGCTAACTTCGCCTGAGACTGGAGTAAAGAAGATTATGAGGGAGGGGTAGTTCATAGGCAAAACATCAGAATCAAGCTTTGTCAAAATGCATATTTTTGAAGTAAATGTGGTTGATTTACCGCTTACATATTTTATATAGATACCTGGAAGTAGCAATGAATCATTACAGTTTAATGGTTATTAATGCCTATATCTTCCTTTCTGAGGCAAAATTCTGATTTTCATAGGAATTCTACTTGAGCAGGATGTGCTATATTTGGTTTTTATTGTGCAATAATGAAAACAACAAAATACAAAAGCCTGTAGTGAAATGTTATACAGAAAGTACGCAGACCTTAAGGTGACACAAATAGGAAAAGTAAAATAAACTGTGTGCCATACTGTTGCAGCTGTTTCACCTCTTACCAATTTTCACAGTCTATAAAATCTTGGAAAGCACCAGATGTTTAGGGGAAGCTGTCCTACTCTGCCTAGCTTTGGAAGTGAATGTAAGATTTATTAGTGCTATATCAGTGCGATTTCAGTACTGGTTTTTGCATTTATAAACTAGGTGGAACATATAACACATTCCATTGTCAGAGAGCCCGTTTACTTTCCTCTGCTCCTCCTCACTTGTAGATTTTGGTGTTGCTGAACAATTAAAGTAACTGCAGAACAATACCAGAACATGCTTTCCAGACGATACTATTTGCTATGTTACTGACAAACAGAAATCTTTCTCCAACTCCTAACTTTAGCCAGAACAACCTTCCAGTCCACTGATTATAAGCTATGCAAACCTATTCTGTTGTGCATGAATATGCACTACTATTTAGGATTCCTGCCTACGCATAAACTGTTGGTGCACAAAATTATTATTTTTTTTCCTGGTGCATGGTTCCTCACATTGGAACAGGAATAAAAACTGCTCATGCATACTTTCCAATCTCTCATAGCTCAGTGGTGCTGTAAAGTGCTGCCATTCGTTTTAATTCAGTGAGAAGAAGTTTTGTTGTGTTTAGTACTAGAGAACTGCATGTGTTATTAGAAAGCCTCTGACAGCTGTCAGAATCAGAGATAACTTGCTGGATTTCAATCTTTCATAAAGGAAGGACTGAGGACCCTCATCCCCAGCAAAGCTGTCAGGGTTCTCACAAAGTGGGATAAAACAGAATACCTTTTCCGTACACAGGGAGATCTCTATCTCTCCTCTAAACCATCTCCCATCAATTTGTACAGGGAAAGTTGTATAGGTAGAAGAGAGAGAAAATATGTCTTGATGTATCAGTGCTTTATACTGTCTTGTCATCACTGACATGAAGGGATAATTGCTTAGCAGTTTGCCTTGCCTTGAGGAAGCACTTGATGTTTACATGGTATTTAATAAATTAGCACAATATTTTAACAAAATGTACTAGCTTTCATGCAGCTTTGCTTTTCTGAGAGCAGGAGCAATGAAAATCTGAAATACATTGATGAAGGCAAGGGCTTTGCATCAAAGACTGAAACTCTGAAGCTGGAAGCATTTCCACACTTCTGAGCACAAAACTTACCCTGCCCAAATCTCTCAGTGGATTCAAAGCACCAGAAAAGGAAATCTCTTAAGGCCTGAGATCTTACCTTCCAGCTTTTGATTTGAACAGGTGCTTACCTTAACAGAAACTCCACTATATATTTAGTCACAATGTTTTTTTTCATAAAAGCCTACATTATTTTCTGTGATCACAATTAGTGACGATTTAGGTCTTGCATACTCTTTAAGTTCAAAGGGAAAGTAGCTTTTTCTGTCTTTAACAGGTGGGCATTTATTTCCTATCTACTCTTATTTAGCTTTCAGGTGATGAACTGCCTCTTCCATTCATACCAGCAGTACCATGGGTTTCCCCCATACAGCACTTCTTCCTGTGGTAGTTTCCTTTACCAGAACAAAGGACTGAGAAGGCATGCCTATTTGTATCAGTTTTATAATTGCTATTTGCATTTTTGCTTATGCTATTTTTGTAGCACACTTGATACTCTTTGCCATTTTGCTTACTCTGATACATTTTTCATCCTGTTTTCTTCTCTCTATCCATCTCATACCACCACTGTGCTGAATAAGGTGAAAATGCATGTGTGAGTCAGAGTCATGCTTTCAAAGTCACATTGATCAGTGGGGTTTGAAATTAGGCAGAGATTGCTGATATTTTGTCTTACAAAAGAAGAAAATAGTATTTTCCTTAAGTACAATAAAGTTTATCCCATTTTTCCAACTGATTTTTTTTTCCCCTAGATTCAGTTTTGCCTAGGATGCTTACAAAGGTTTGATATATAACTATATATACTATGTAGTTGTAACTATATATATAAGCTGGTTCTGTTCTTTCTATATTATCATTATGTTATTTTCATATCATCTCATCCTATCTTTGTACTATGCATGACCAAAAGCAACTTGAAATTTCAAGAGTTTTTCTGCTCCAGGTTATCTGTATGGCTATTAAGGAGATTTCTTTTTTTGCTTATGACTTTACTTGATTGAAGAGTTATGTGAATAAAGCTGTAATAGCAATTATCCTTAAATATGTTTTCAATACTTCATTCTAACATTTTGACTGTATGTTTAATACTTCCTGCTCAGCACACTAGAAGAGGGACATTAGCACATTTTAACTGGGAACAGGGAATTAATAATTTCTCATGTATGTAACATTTTAAGTTATATATACTATATACTATCAGAATTAAGAAAAGCGCTGCTGCAATTTATGTTGAATAGATGTTATACAGTGCTACTATCTTTCAACTTGTAAGAGCCTATTTTGGCCTTGTTAAGCTTGTTATCGTTTCCTCAACCAAAGTTTTCTAATATTTCACATATCACACAATTTACATCAGAACTCATAACACCACACAATTCCTTTTGAAATATGAAATATGAAATGTGACTTGCTCTGGGGTGGAAGTGTCATTTCCTACTAGAAATTGAGATGCATCTGCAGTTGTTTCATTGCAAGTATTGACCAACAGCATCTTCCAACTTTGCAGAACTCTGCAGATCTTTGCTATTACCAGTATTTCCTTCCACTAATATTTAAACTCTTCTTACCTATGAACAGATTCCACTCAGTATCCAAATCAGCCTGATTTGCTAGGCAGCCCTTCATTACATTGAGGCAATAGTTGTTGCAAGGTTTCACAGTGGGAAGTCCTCTGCAGTAAGGGCAGTACAACATCTTCATTAACGCCCGGATGCACCCTGGGGTGGGACTGACCTGCAGAGTTTGAAGGGGGGAAAGAAAAAGAAAAAGGAGGAAATCAATCTCCTGTTCTGTGAATGCTGGGGTAGCTGAGATTATGCCTCTCAAGCAATAAGCGTAGAAGGGGCAGTCTGTGAGAAAAATCTCAACCCTTAATAACACCCTCCTATGATGCTAAACAATTCCTACTCATTATCTTCATCAACTACAGCCGCAGTGACTTTCAGGAATGCAAAAGAATCAACAATCCCCTGATGATGGCAGCACTTTCTGCCCCAGCCCTCCCACATGAAATCTACTGGAATTAAAGGAAAAAAAGCCAGGAAATAAGTTGGACAGAAACTGACCGATCCTAACCAGGAGGATCCTGAGATGTTGCTACACTCTTCTCACTCAGGCTAGAACTGCCAGTCACACTGGATGAGATTCTCCTCTTCATTAAAGCGCAGTAAATCCAAGATAATTCCAAGATAATTTCTATCAAATTATTCAGAAATGCATCATGAAAAAGGGATATCATCCTGTTCTCACACAAAAAACACCCTTCTATTTTCTCAGGCAAATTCATAAAGAGATCAGTCTTTTTTTTTTTTTTTTTTTTTTTAATGTATGATTTTCTCTTTCAGTATCTTGAGCAACAAAAAAGCATTTTATTGACAACAGCCTAATGCATTTCACATGAAGCATCAATATGGCAGAACATGGCTGCACTTGTTGAACTTAGAACTGCCATCACAGCCAATGGAAAGACACCCCGTGAGTTTAGGGATTTCAGTCAAAATCATTAATGTGTGTACGGCTGACAGAAAGAAGTAGTATGTAGCTATAAACTTTCATTTATATCTAATAGAGTTTTCACTAGAGTCATGGTTTTCCCGGAGATGGAGAATTAAGGTCAGAGAAAGATTTCTTTCATAAGGACCTCCTGCTATCTCTAATGATAGGATCTTTCCTGCCATCTTTTTTATCCATCAAAATGCCAGGCATCTATTCAGTAATATCTTCTGTATCCAATTGGAGAGAAATAAATCTTTTTGGGGAAGTTTCTTTATCCCTTTTATTGCAGGGTAGGATAAATCTTCTTCTAGAGGACATTCACTGAATACTCCCTAAATACTCCATTCTTAGATTTAAACTGTCCAAATTGAGCACATTTGATAAGCACTTAGTGTTTGTTGGATAAATGTTATTTCCCTTACCCTCTCATTTCCTTATTTCTTTCATATCAGACTTAAAATTTTACATGCTACAATAATGTATGTTTTCAGGACTGAAACTCTATCTTGCATTAAAAGTGCACAATATTAGGTACTACTTGCAAAAGGTCTTGTCACAGTGCAGTGGAGCATATGTTTCCTGTGTCAGAGTGACAGTCTAGCACAGTGACAGAAGGGCTACAGGCTCCTCAGTGATTTGAGAATTTCTGAACAGGAAAGTGCAAAGAAATGGCATTTCTTTCACTCATTTTGTTGGCTTATGAATAAATGCAACAGTTTAATATGAATTGCAACTATTTTTTTTCTATAGTCATGGAAATTTGTGCTAAAAGAGAGCGTGAAAGCATGAATCTGACTTTGCAATATAGCAGCCTGTGCTAAACCGACTGATAGTTCGGTTCAGATAGTCTTTCTTCCTCTTCTTTTTTTTTTTTTTTTTCTTCTGGGATTTCTTTTCTTCTTTCTGGTACAAAATGTTTTCATCACACTGGACCTTTTTTTATACAACTCAGCTAACAGCTTTTTTTATACAACTCAGCTATACAACTCAGCTAATTAGAGCAGATGCTTCTGACTATGCTCAGAGGTGACTTTTGCCTCACTTTCTTAAAGAAATGCACTTTACTCATGCAACACTCAGATGAGGTGTGTAAAGGTATATTCGGCCATCTTGTCCTGATAACTTTAGAACATGTTGGCCAATTTCAATCAAATTTGACCGAGGGCTTCAAGTCTCAGTACAATAAGATCCTACAAGGTTTTGGAAAACAGCTGGGAGAAGAAAAGGAGATAGTCTCTGTTACTGCCTTTATTTAGGAAAAAGCTGAATCAGAAGGTCAGTTCCACAAGGAAATCAAAGAATACACATGAAGAATGATTCTGTGAATGTCCCAGGGGTTAAAAAAGCACTAAAAGTAGAAATTTAACCTTATTAATCACCAGAAAATCCAAATACTAAGTATAAATCAAAGGAAGCATTATAATCATTATTTCCACTGCTCAGAACAACTTTCTGTGGTTACTTGCCTAGCTTTTTTATCCATATACCCCCAAAACCTAGAACAGGCCCACTTTTATAAAAAGATTAGCAGTGAAAGGGGGATGTGAGTAAAATACAGAGCACTCAAAATTAGTTTGAAATTGCTGTTTATACTTTGTTGTATTTCTTCCAGTCTCCACTGAGAGTTTTATCAGCAAAGTTACTTTCATGTCTAAAATTGTGCTTCTTCCCCTGCCCAGAGTTCTTGTCAACACCAAGTTGTTGACACCTGGTTGACCTCCTAAGTTCAGCTGAAATCCACATGTTCTCCTATCTATGTCTTCTCAAGCCCATGCTGGTACTTGTGCTGACATCCCTTATATCTATGGGTTCTTAATTTTCTGTGAAAATATACTGGTGCTTTCATTCTTGAAAAGCATAACTAGAGAAATAAAAACAGTTCTGGTTTATATTATTATATTTGTAACAACCAAATATCATAAATATTTACATGAGCTTTATTTTATCACAAATTTAATCAGGTACCAAATTTTTCTCTGCTAAAGGTCCTGATCATATCTCTGATATGCTAGCACAGGACCCTAAAAGTCAGTTAGAATATTGATTTACAAGAGCTCAGTGAATTCTGAATTCTTTTTGCATTACAGGTCAGCTTTAATCAGAGCACTGTCTCATAGCATCTACTCCAAGGTAGCAAGGATAATTTCTTACCACACAAAAAGAATGAGCTGAACTCAAGCCTCTCAGATCTTGTCTGAATGTTTCAATATCCTTTGTATAAAATGGTGGTATCATCAACAGCATTTTATAAGAAAGGAGGGTGCCCTGCTTTTTTTTTTTTTTTGAGAGAAAGCCATTTTAAAGAGAGGCCAAACTGTGACTTGAAGAAAAAAGCACCTGGAGAAAACTACAGCAGCCTTTGGTAGATTATATAGACCTATATAAGCATCTCCTTGCTGATCATGCTGGATGTTGCAGATCTCTGTCTCAGAAGTTGCTATGCTGCTTAAATAAAATATCAGCTGATCACTCTGAGGCCAGGTAAAGGGTCTAGCTTACGTTCAAGATGTTTATGGCTAGCACCTACAGGCCACATTCCATAATACTACATTGCATTTGGCACTACAGGCTCCCTTGGGTTCCACGTGGTGCCTGAATAAGTAAAATAAATATTTTTGTGTGGTTATTTTTCAGCTATGGAATAATAAGAGGCAGTACTGCAAGCGGTAGGATTAGCAATAAGATAATATAATGTTGCATGTTTTGAAGAAAGAGAGGAGGTTATTTCTATGATATTTGGATTACACTAGGAAGGAAAGAAGAGGACCACAACAGGACAAGTATCTTCTGGAACTGATCTCTATGAGGAAACTTCCTCTGAAAAGCACACAGGCATTGATTGCATGGGGAGATCTAAAGCAAGCGGTCCAAAATGGATCCAGGAGGGTCTAGCAATTAAGCTGTGATCTGGTGAGTCTTGTTCTCAATGCTGCTCCATGTCTCCATCACCTACAGTACTAATGTACCTCCACATGACCAAATTTTATTGTGGCAAAGGGAAAAATGAAAATGAATCATCTACTCTAGAGGCCTGAAGATTTTATGAATCCAGCCTCCAGTGAGCAGCCAAGTTTTGATTTTCAGCTGCAACCCTTTTTTTCCTATTACTTCATTTTCAGAGAATAGAATCAGCTTTTTCTCCTTCCTTAATGACAGCTCTCATGCATAAAAAATTATCAAAATTTTCTCTAACAGTGTGAAATCTTGGTAAAAGAACAAACATAAAGAAATCAGCTTAGATTTTGAGAACACATGGAATCTGTATATTATTATAGAAAGTTGCTTTTCAACCAATCAGATTGGCTTGACACATTTTCTGATGGCAAATTAAAAGAAACATATTTTGAAAGCCTATTTCTCATGTTCGTCTTTCCATCTTAAAACAAACAAACAAAATCTCCAAAATCAAACCAAAGAAACCCCACAATATCTTTACTCAGAATCTCTGACACCTAAAAATATTTTTTCTGCAGACCAGTCAAATGAAAGACATTCATATCATTCAGAGGTATTTGAACCCTGCATTTGCTCAGGAAAACTGTTTATCAGCTTTAAATAATATTTGTTACTACAGGCTTTTATTTACTTATTTAGTCTTTTACAATGCATTGCAACTAATCATAGCAGAGAAATTTGCATGGACACCAAAGTTTAGAAATAAAAAGTCCTAAAATAAATCATATTTTAAAAATCAATCAGAGCACATCAAATGACACTATTGGAGAAACCTCCATAGAGGAGTCATTAATTGTATATCATGTTTTCTCCCTGACTGACTAGGACATCTTCATTTTAGTATAAGCATACACAGATTGCAGCATGTTAGAAAAGTAACTATCAGAACTTTGACTGAGCCCAGTAGCATGTTACACAGCATTTTTAAACATATTTTGACAGCTTCATCTTTATCCAAATGTAAGTATATGCATACATGCAAAAAAAAAAAAAACAAACCCCAAAAAACAAAAAACAAAACCATAAAAACAAAACCATAAAAACAACTCCAAAACCACCAAAAACCAAATTCTAGAGGCCTTCATCACTGAACACTTGTTTTCCTCTTTCAGAAATTTTGGAAGTAATATTATTTCACCTAAAAGACAGAATTTGCAATCAAGAAAATATAAATAATTTAGGATAGAACTTTTTTTTTGGGGCATATCATGAAGTTGCATTCTCTCATAACACATTTTCAAAAATCACACTTTATTATGTACCTGATCTATTTCTATAATCAA